AATGTTTTGAAAATGATGATGGCAACGTATGTACAAATGTGCTTGACACAATGGATGTATGTATGGATTGTGGTAAGAGCTGTACGACCCCCAGTAGAATGATTTTTTTTTAATGGAAAGGCTCTCCTGCCCTATTCATAGCCACATTGCAAACCACTGCTGATAGATGGGTTTGTGCTGTTCCCAAGTTTTAAATATGCTGTTAAAAAACGTACCTTAGAATCACATAGAAGATGTCTCGCCCTTGATGACTGGCCTAAAGGTTGGAGTTTTGAACCCACCCCGTTGTTTTGCGATCCTATGCCCTAACAATTACAGCCCCAAGACCCACAGAGCAGTCAGAATACACTAACACACAGGGTCGCCATCGGTCTCGACTCAATGGCAAGGCATTTGGTTTTGATGTGCTGGTACTGTATAGATGGATGCTGGGTTTTGAATTGTCCCCATTGTTCTAAGGAGTTCCTAGGTGTTGCAAATGGTTCATGCCTTCGGCTGTTAACTGAAAGGTTGGAAGTTCAAGTCCTCCTAGGGGTACTTTGGAAGAATGACCTGGTAACCTACTTCAGAAAAATCAGCCATTAGAAAAAAGTCAGCTCTGAGTACAGCTCTATTCTGACACACACAGGGTCACCAGGAGTGCAGGTTAACCTGGGGCAGGTGGTGCATTTTCACCCCCTGTCCCCAATCCCTTCACTGCAGTTTGGGGAGGCAAACACTTAAGGTAGCTTCTTGAGTATCTTTCTCGAGGAATTACACACACACACACACACACACACACACACACCCCTCACATATCCTGTACAAAGCGGAGCTAGTTGGATGTACACTCCCTGGCGCATGGACTCATCTCTGTGCCCCTGGTGTCTACGAGACTGTGCACATAGTGGGGACACTGTCACCACCCCGGTTCTTCTGTTCACAGTATGGCGTGCCTCTGCAGACTCCGGATTCCTTCCTGAGATTTCCCTCTCCCCTTACATCCTCTCTGTGCATCGACGAGAACCCTGCAGGTAGGAGAAGGGGCGCTCCAACTTCTCTGTCAGCTGAGTTCGCTGTTAGCTTCGGCTTGTGGCTGTCATTCCATAAGCTGCATGACCAAAATAGACTCAAACGTTACCCAGGCCTGTTTTCCACCCTCAGGGGGGAATCTCTTCTGCCACATGCGGTCTCTGCTTGAGCCCTGCTAGTGATGGGAAGCTCACTACCTGGAAGGGGCCCCCTGCCAGTCATTGGAAAGGTCTCTCTCAGCAGAACTAAAGTTCGGCTGTATGTTAAAGTGTGTGAAGTGCCTTCTATGAGCTGGGTCTGGTCCTCGTGTGGATATGGGGTTTCCATTTAACCCTCCCCATGAAGAAGGACGATGGCCTCCGGTTTTTGTTGTTGTTTGGATGAGAAGCCGGGAGGTGGTCAGTGTTTGCTCAGGCTCTTTCAGGCAGCAGTGGAGTGGGGACAAGTCCTAGGAAGTCTGCTGGCAGCCCCTGCTCCATTGCACCCACAGGCATCCCAGGGCCCACAGAGGAGCCCCTTCAGTAGGGGAGGCAGATGGCAGGTGCTCCCCTTCTGAAGGAAGCCTCACTGGGAAGAAGCAGTGGGTGACAGCATGTGGCTTCGTGAAGACGCCGTTTGATACAAGAAGGAAGCCTGTACCTGGTTGGAAAACTCCTCAGAGGAACAGGGTAAACGGGAACCAAACAGACCTGTTTCTTCTCTCCGGCCGGCAAGTCCAACACAGTGAGGCTGAGGGCAGCAAGTGCTCTCCTACGCAGCTGGTGAAGCCAGTGCCGCCTCCCTGAAGGACACTGAACTGCATCTGGCCAGCTGCTCTCCTAGAAATTGATCCTATGGAAACTCTTCCCACGGACCCAAGAGTAGACCCAAGAGTAGAGTGCAGCACTGCTGTGATCCAGAGAATGCCCGCATGAGTGATAGAGAGAGGGACACCACTTCAGTGTCCATTCGTCAGGACTTGGTTGAATAAGTGATGACTCGTCTATAATAGGGTACTGATTGTCCCTAAAACAGGCTGAGTAAGTTCTCCATGTCCTGAGACAAGCTCATATTCAAGAGACATTGCTCAGTGCAAATGAGGGTGAAAGAGGCTATCACCTGTGCCTCCGTGCCCACAAGGGAAAGAAAGAAAACACACACACATACACAAACATGGGCGCGCGCATGAGCGCACTTTTGTAGGCAAAAGCATCTCCAGAGGCTATATAAGCAACTTTATGGTGGTTGCCTCTGGCGAGAATTGGAACCCTAGGGATGTATTACATAGAAAGATCCTGTTTTAAATACATTGCATATCTGCACTGTCATTTATTTGTTGGCCTTAAACCTGGATTATAACTTGGATGGAATGTCAAGACGTGTCTCTGTTTGTATTGTTTTTCCCTTGGGAACGCTCTGACGGCCAGCGTTTCTGGTGAACCAAGCTGTGAAGTGCACCAGAGAGATAGATTTGGAACGGTGTGAAGAAATCGAAGCCCTGAGCATGGCTTCTTACAGCAGCCCTGAAATTCTGAGGGTAAGCATCATTTTGAAGTATCTTGAGGGTAAGAATCACTTTGGTTCTTTAGCTGCTGCTCTTTGTACCCTGTGAAAGTAGGTCAAGTGTAGAATAGTTTCAAAAGATGATTATGCTTCAGGCTTAAATTATTCCACTTCTCTGACATCAGTGCTTATTGAGATTGTCATTAAAATGTTTTGTTTTCTTTCCCTTTTTATTTGGCTTTGATTTATTTGATGGAGGCCCATAATATTTTTCTCACATTAAAAAATCTTAGTAAATAACCAAAAGCTTAAGGAATTATAGAAATATTTTAATGCTTATGACAAAAATAATCATATTAGCACCAAAAAGATCTCTCTCCTTCTCCCTCTCATACACCAGACTGGAACAGCTGCACACTGCTGTAGATGCAGGAAGCAGCCAGGAGAGGAGGGGACCACTGGGGCCAGGGGATGAGGTTGTCCTCGGAAAGGACCCTCTCCTCTCTGCTTGCAGCCCTGCCCGCTTGGAGGGGTACACGGGAAAAGGGATTTTTCAATAATTAAAAACCATGAATATTGTGATGGGCCCCTCCCCTCCCGATTTCCCACTTTGGGGAGGTTGGTGTGTGTAGGGTAGAGATAGGGGTGCCCAATGGCACCCTGTGTTCTCTGGGCTTTAGTTTTCACCCTGCCCACCTCCCCCACACTGCCACACCAGCCATCCAGTTCTGTTCATTCTTTGAGCTCCTTGATTCCTCATAGCAGCCCTGGAAGTGGCCCCTCAGGCATCCAGGCACCGTTTTCCCTCAGCCCAGGGCTCCCCACACATGTCTGCTCATCCTTCCCAAAGTTCCAAATGGCCCAGAAGGGTGTAGTTCAATTTGAGAAGTGAGTGGGGGTGGAAAGGTAGGGGGTACAGAAAGTGGAGGGAGGTGGAGCCCTTCGAAGGAGCGGTCAAGCTATAGATCCACCTGTTTGAAAAGACAGTGGGTAAAAAAATGAGCTGATACCAAGGGCTCAAGTGGAAACCACATGTTTTGAGAATGATGAGGGCAGTAAGTGTACAAATGTGCTTGACACAATGGATGTATGTATGATTTATGAGTTATACGAACCCCAATAAAATGATTTAAATCAAATAAAAAGAAAAGACAGTGGGAATGCTTGTCTTTGTTGAACTTAAAATCTGTGGTTTCTTTTTGTCTAGGTGCCAAATTCAAGAACAAAGGTAAGACTACTTAATAGGAAAGAAGATGGTTTATAATGTGAGGGGCTTCAAAGAATTCATGGAGAAAAATGGAATGAAAAGATAATGGAGTTTTCCAAACTTTTTGAAGTCCCTTCATCCACTGTCTTTATTTCTGAGCCCTTTAAAATGAGTGATTAGAAGGGACCCTGACTACCAGCAATACAACTATTTACCAAAACCCCAGCAAAGACAAAGCGGGGGGAGCTCCTTGGTGGACAGCCCCTTTGGAAACACATTTCAGAGTTTCGGGCTCCCCCCATAGTTGCCGCTCACACATTTTCATGTTTGGATGGTGTAATTATTTGACAGCAGGTGTGACTAACTTCTGCATGTTCAGGTGTTTTGGTCTCATGACAGGAAAGTTGGGTAGTTCCCAGAATGCTGTTGGTCCAATGTAGAGATGCAAATGTTTCTTCATAGAATATGAAAATGAGTGAGTGTCCTTTCCACAGAGCCTCCGGGATTGATCTGAGGGCATCTTCTAACCATAGTTTGCTGCCAGCCTCTCCCCCAGAGGTCTGTCAGTCTGTGGTCAGAGGCCAAACGCTCTTGGGCTGTGTCTCTTTCAGATCACTTTTCCAGGGTCTGTGTCCTATGCCGCTGTGAATCCAGTCCCCACGGATACCCAAGGCCCAAGAGATAAAATTTAGCGTTAATAGCAGGTTTGCCACACAGATCCGAAGGCCCAGCTGTTGTTAGAGACTCAAACCATTTAAAGGATTGCTTGTTGCTTTGTCACTCTCCTGGCACCAGCCAAAAAAGAAAATGTCCTCTAATAGCATATGGATAACCAAGGCTTCTTAATTTTGTTTAAACAGTTTACTTATCCATTCTTTCCCATACCCCCAGAGGGGTGTGTGTGTGTAATCAAGTATATATAGAAGCAATGTATAAATTGGGTCAAGTATATAGTCTGTGGGGGCTTACATATGTATCCTGGGCTGTATGTGGAATGTGCATGTATATATACTTGAGGGCTTCAAAAAATTCATGGAAATATTCCATTATTCTTAAATTCCATTTTCCAGGAACTTTTTGAGGCCCCTTGTTGGGTGAGTAGACATAACCAGTCAGTTGTTTTTTTGTTTTGTTTTTTCTTTTTCACAGATGATGTTTATTAGGGAAGTTAATAGGTTACAAGTCAGGTGAAAAATAATGACACAATTGTTTAGTCAGGACAGTCTATTCTCTGCCTGCCTGCAGGTTGGCCTCCGTGGCAATGTTCCAAAACTCCTTTAGCAGTCTTGTTTTCAAACAAGCAAACACTTAAGTGAGGTGACAACTAAATCCACCTGGAAAAAGCACACCAGCCTGTGTGATCTAAGGATTATAAATAATATAATCCAAATCTAAAGGAGGGAATGGCATCAGAGTTTAAATTGTGAACACCTGGTTTGCAGAAGCTTCTAGATGACACTTGAAGCCCAGAATTCATTTGCAGAGTTCGCACATGGATTTGACCTCCAGTAAAACCCCTCTGATCATCGTTTAGGGGTGTGACTAGGCCTGTTATTAGACAAAGAAGATTGTAATTCAATTATGGCAGATGTAGTTGGGTCAAAATGTAATATCTTATTTGATCTCGCTTTAGATCCATTTTAAAGCTGTTTCAATTTTTTTTGAAAGATGTTAAGGGGAAATACAAGTGGATTAAGCCCCTGGTGAATCCCCTGACTATGGACCAGGGAAGTGAATAGCCTTGCTAACATGCAGAATGCACTGGAAGGTGGATTGTTGCAGATACATATAGATTAGTCAGTTGTTTTTTGTTGTTTTTTTGTTTTGTTTTTAACATTTTATTAGGGGCTCATACAACTGTTATCCCAATCCATACACACATCAATTGTGTAAAGCGCATTTGTACATTGTTTCTCAAAACATTTTAGTGAGAGTATATCTATGCATTTGACGGTTCGATGGGGTTTTGTGTGTCTTTTTCTTTTTCAGATCAAATTCATGTACTATAAAATTGACCATTTTAAAGTGTACAACTCAGTGGATTTGTACATTCACCGTGTTGTGCAGCCATCACCACCACCTCATTCTGGCTCATTTTTCATCACTCTTTTTGGGACATTTCATAGAAATGCAGTCATACAGTACATGATTTTTTTGTGACTGGCCTCATCCACTCAGCCCCAGTTTTTCCTCTAGGTTCATCCAGGTTGTAGCATCTTCCAGTGCTTCGCTCCTTTTCCTGGTGAACAGCAGTTCGTTTTCTGCCTGGATCCCTTCCTCAGCTGATGCGCCTTTGGTCGCTTTCCCCCTAAGCCTCTCATGAGTGCCACTGTGAGCATCCATGCCCACGTTCCGGTGGAATCCATGTTTTCAGAGATGACTAGTTTTACATTTGGGTTATAGTCTTACAAAGTGCTCTCTGACAGGTGTGTGTATGTAGTGTGAAATACACCCATCTTGGCACATGTGGAGCCACTGGGTGTCCATTGTTCTCCCTCCATCCCCACCCCCCACTCCTGTCTTGACACATTTGAGTTTTTGTCACTCAGCTCTCAGGCAGAGTCTCATGATCCAGTTGTTCTTCTCCTTGCAGGTTCCTGTCACGGTTCAGTCCATCGTGGTCAAATCTCTAAACCACACGGTCAGCTGGCTGAAAGACACTCACCTTGCTTTGCAACCTGCTTTTGTCAGTGCTGGGAATTTTAACATCTGCACCAATGCCGTTCTTCAGGTAGGTCCCCAGGTTGGCTTTGAAAGTGCAACCTGCTAAAGGTCCTCAAACCGTGGGCCCTGAAGGGGCAACATGACACCTTTTGAAGGGGGCTCTGGCCATGCTACGGGGTCCCCTTTCCTGGCTTGCCTCCCTGCTGGCCTTTATGTTTTTTCATCAAAGGGGATTTATTTCTTCACTGGTCTTGGGAATAATCATGTGTGATTCCCCACCACTACCCCACCCCCACCAAAGTGAATGACTTGCAAGAATATGTCAAGATGTTGTTTTGGTCTTAATGTGTCCTTTGCAGAAAGGCTAATCATATTCTGCTTGGGCCAGCTCCTTTGGAACTTAGAAAACAGGGTCTCAGAAGCCAAGTGCCCCTGGTCGATCAGCGGAGCTGGGTACCACCTCTCTTGAGCCAACTGGACAAGAGAGAAAAACTTGAAACAAGTGGAACAGTGGGGAAGGATTTCATCTCCCTAGTGGGTCTCATAGATGCTATTAATGTAGCCACTGAAATGGAATGGACATGGGGAGTCATGGGGGTCTCCTTTTGCATTTAGGTCAAATACAGCCTGACATACACCAATGCTGGTGAAGTAACAGAAGCTGGACTCTCTCTTGTTCTGGGAACAGTTAGCAGTGGAGCTGTTCCGATCCAGCAAATGTTTGAAATTCATTTTATCCAGGTAAGTGTGGTCAATATGGACCAAGATTGCATTGTAAAGTTACAAAGAAATCAACTTCTTACTGAGAAAAACAGTCTCATTTGAGAAGTATTACCACATCCTTCTCTTCCCGAGTTGGGCTCAGGTAGCACGCGGATGAAACCCAGGAGAGCCCTCGCATCCTCTTCTGCTTGAGAACCTCTCCCATCTCAGCAGCACATTCCCTTACAGCGGGGTGAACTCCCACGCCCGTTGGTGTATTTATAACTCTGAGTGGGGTGGTGGGGAGACTGTCTTTTATTGATGATAATTCCAGATTTTATTATGAAAAGCATTTCATATTTCCCCTGCCATTTCTGCATTATCTTTCAGCAAAACACAAGGCCAGTTCCTCTCAGTGGAAACCCTGGTTATGTTGTGGGGCTCCCGTTAGTGGCCGGCTTTCAACCTCAGAAGGGGTATCCTTTTTGGTTATGTGGAGTGGTTGGCGTGCACAAGCAGGATCCCCACTTCTCTATAGTGCAGAGGTCCCTGTGGGCTGCTGGTGGGATAGAGAGCCAGGGCTGAGCCAGCTTTTCTTCTAGGGGGAGGGGTAGTTGGCTACACGTCAGTGGAGCTGAGGGGGCTAAGGATGTTGGGGTGAAATGAAATGCCAATGTTTTTAAGTGAAGTACTTAAAGCAGAAAAGTTACTAGACTCCTAGGAGTTTTTAATTTCACATTTAAACAGAGACTCTTAGGAAGACAGTGAATTTTGAAAATTTGGGATTACTTTTGAAGGGCCAAGTTCTGAGGATTTTTCTTCTGAGGATCTACTGTTCGAAGGAAACAGCTCCAACGCTGCCATCTTCCTTCTCTGAGAAGTCACTGTCACGATCCCAGGGCCCAGAGAAGGGATACTTGGTCTCCCTCACATCTCATGTCACTGTCTTTTTTACCATAATCCAGCTGCTTGTGATACTGGAAGCTAGCCCTTAACATCCTGTGAATGTCTGGGATTATTCAGACAACAAATAGATATGGACAATTTACCATTCTTCACAGCACAACTGAGCAAGACTGCTTAGCACTAGAGGGGATCCGAACACCAGTGCTATTTGGTTATGATATGCAATCCGGCTGTCAGCTGCGGTAAGGGAACAACTTGTTTCTGTTTGAACGTGTTTGTGATCTGAAAATGAGGCATTCCCACCCACTGTCTTACGAAGCCTCTGTGGTGGCTGATGAGCCCACATGAAAGCCAGAATGTAGCTTCCCATCTAATTAATAAATAATAGAAGTAGTAGCAACACCATATAATGATGCAGCTTTTTGTTTTCTAACTTTAACTTGCACAACAATAAACCATTTGCCAATATTTCAAGGAGAACGATGACTATACCATTTTTCCTGGCTATCAGAATAGAGATCTCCAGACTTTCTGTGTTTCTTTTGTATGGGCCTCAAGCACTTGAGCGCACAGCAAAAACATCTCAGCCCCTCAAGCCAGTCCTAGAGTTGGGCTAATATACACAGCTCGGGAAGACCAGCGACAGGAAACTCAGTTTATCTTTTTCTCTTGTTGTCAAACATTTGCATAATATACAAGGGCAAATAGCTCTACATGACTTGTTATAAAAAACAAGTGAAGGCCCCACTCTCATTTCCCACCCTAGAAGCAGCTAATTTCAATGTCTAGTTGATTTGGGGAGTAAATTTGCTCTTAGATCCATAAATGACCTTATACAGTGCTGCTTCTTGAGTTTTTGTTTCTCAGAGTCATTTGTGGACTTCCCACAGTGAAAGATAAAGAGTTGGTTGCTCTGTTTCTTTATACACCAGTCCCAAGCCTGCACACTTAACCTTGTCCACATCCCCAAGTGGTTTTACATCATGATTTTGGTTAGACCAACATTATTACTTCTGATCTCTTTAGACCAGTTCCTCTCAGTGTCAATTCTATGGTATATAATCCCACAAGATTTCCGGAGCAGGGAGGCCTAGGGCCTAGTATGTTTGGGAAGTAGCAAATTCAAGTTGAAATGTGAATCCTCACTGTTGTCGGGCTTCTCAGAGCCTTACATCTGGCCTGCAGGAGGGAGGTGGGCTGGGAAACGTTTCCCAGACTTACCCCGGCGGAACCCTCACACAGAGCCTCTCTGTAACACAGTGTGGGAAACACTATTTGACCTCACCTCCCTGGCCAACTGTCTAGATTCTGCAAAGTTAGAGGCACCGTAGCTCCTGTCCAATGACGCCGCCATCTTTTGAGAATGAGGGAAGGAAACTGGCGAGAACCGCATGCCCTCGAGCCTTAGAAATGGTAGTACAGCAGCTTAGCGTTGACCTGTCTTCCCTCCCCCAGGGTGGCCAGTGCTGTCCCATGTCAACTCACAGCGCAGAAGGTGAAGAGCCTGCTCAAAGGCCAGGGCTTCCCCGATTATGTAGCTCCTTTTGGTAATTCCCAGGTCCAGGATGTGCTGGACTGGGTGCCCGTCCACGTCCTCAGCCATTCATTCAGCATGAAGGTAAGGACCCCTGGAAGACATCTTCCCCACTTCCAGGCTCCTCATCTTTGCGTGGGGAGCGAGAGGCTGTCGGGGAAGCTGGAATATTGCTGTAGATTAAGGTGACCAGATTTTAACACTGGTAAAACGGGACACCATTGATAAAACTCATATCCTGGCGAAATAGCCACATGGCAGCTGAAAACCGTATACCCTAGCTTATTGTGCATTCTTTCCAAAAATCAGGATGTTTTTAAAATACTGTGGGACACGGGAAAAATTATTAAAAATTGGAACTGTCCCACCAAAAGAGGGACGTCTGGTCACCTTACTATAGATGCCTTGAATGGGCTCTGGGTGGAAGCCCGAACTTTGTTGTTGGATTGGCCTGGGTCCTGAATATTGACCTGGTCTCTTGGTAGCCTTCTTTTCTTGGTCTGAGCTATGGGGGTGATAGTCACAGTGCTAAGCTTGCTGAGAGGTGTCCGCCCTCAGTGGGAACACCCCTCCTTGTCATGGATGGGGATGGTGGTACAGGAGTCTTCTCTGCATCCCCATCATTCAGACAGACACACCTGAGGCTGGTTCCCGGAGGTGGAGAGTCCTCTCCCCCAGCCCTCCCAGCTTCCTGCAGCCCACACTTGAGAGCTTTCAATTCAGAAGGCCCTAGGAGAGTTTAAGGGAAGTTGACATCCTACAAATAGGTTCCTGTTCCCACGTGAGGCTCCTGCCCACCTCTCTCTTTTGTCTCTGCAGTCAGCGTGTGGGCCTGCCCTCCTCACTGAGGCATGTTCTCCCTCAAGCCTCTAATTGCCCAGCTTTTCCTTACACGGTTTCTTCAGGCCTCTCATTATCCGCTTAGCATATTTATAGCTTGGGGACAATGGGGGTGAGGATGAGCTCACGGCTAGGCGGCCCTCCCTTCTGAGTCCCAGCAGAGACTGGTGATTACTCAGGCCCTGCTGCTCAGCTGCCAAGCCCTGGCTCTGCTCTGCCACCTCAGTGCACCAGGCAAATTGTGTCAGGCCCCTTGGGGCAGGGGAACACAGGTTGAGAGGAGAAGCCAGGGCACTCAGGGCCTGCAGCAGCCTGGGTACCAGCCTTCCAGGAAACCCAGGGAGAAGCAGGCAGGAGACCAGCTGCTAAGTGCAATCGATAGCAGCTGCCTGTTGCTTCACCTCCAGAGTTTCTCCGCGTGCAGTTTCCTGAAAGGCAGTTCCAGACTCAGACTTCCTTCCATCAACGCCTTTTGGACCAGTACCAAATTGAGCTGGCCTGATTGCTTTTCATGCCTTCACTAGATGGACTTTTAAAGAAACTTATTTTGGAAAACTATCACCTGCACACCAGAGCTGTGTCCCCATTACCCATCCTGCAGCTACCACACTTCACCAACTGAAGTGCTCGAAGGGCGAGACCAAGGTCGGGGAGGCCCCACACACAACGGTTTCCCCTGGGGTGGACCAGAGCTCTCCAAGGTCTCTGGCCTGGCTCCTGCCACTTCAGACTTGACCCTGGCAGCAAGACTGTGGTCCATCTGCTCTCAGTTCAGCTGCTGTCCTCACTAGTTGCTGCTCCCACTCAGAGTGACCTTATGTACCCTCCTCAGGGTCCAGTTGAAGACGTATTAGTATCTCTGAGAAAGTATACACAGCCTGTACACCTAAATGTGACATCATAATTGCCAGCTGATTGCATTAGATCGTTGAAAAGAAGCACTTGAATTGCCTCTAAGTGCTCCTTCATGTGACGTGAGGTGGGATCCGGTGTAGTTTCAGTCTATTTATAAGGCCATCCCCTTCCCACTGCCAGGTGTTCTTCTCATGTCTCAGAGGTAGAGGGAGCCTGGCCGGAGTTTCCCGTGGTGAAGTTATAGCCATTCAGGCCCGGGAGGCCCCCCAGTTGGGTCTGGGGAGTCTCGAAACTCCCAGGGTGTTGAAGTACTTTGGGAGCACTGAGTACTCCCTGCACTTTCTTTTTCTTTTTTTAATAATTTTATTGGGGGCTCCTACAGTTCTTATCACAATCCGTACATACATCCATTGTGTCAAGCGCATTTGTACATTTGTTGCCCTCATCATTCTCAATTCATTTGCTTTCCACGTGAGCCCTTAATATCAGCTCATTTTCCCCCCTCCCTCTTGAACCCTTGATAATTTATAAATTATTATTTTGTCATATCTTCTTACACTGTCTGACGTCTCCCTTCACCCACTTTTCTGTTGTCCATCCCCCTGCACTTTCTTAAGCAGGTTTTATCTGGCTTTGAGTCTGTTTACTCCTCTCGTTCAGAACACGCTTAACACAGTGGTTCTCAACCTGTGGGTCACGACCCCTTTGGGGTTCAAATGGCCCTTTCACAGGCCTTGCCTGATTCATAACAGTAGCAAAATTAGTTAAGAAATAGCAAGTGAAATCATTTTATGGTTGGGGGTCACAACATGAGGAACTGTATTAAAGGGCCATGGCATTAGAAGGTTGAGAACTACTGCTCCAACGTGTGAAACATTTTATAATTAAAACTCTTGGACCACAGGTGCACTCTGATTTGAAGCTGGGTCGTGTCCAGACTGACTGAACAGCGTTTGCTTTTGCAGGATTCTTGCCAGGTTCCGGTGGCATTGGTGATAGAAGTGAAGTGGACTAAATATGGGTCCTTGGTGAACCCACAGGCTAAAATCGTCAATGTGACAGCAAACCTCTTTTTCTCCTCGTTTCCTGAGGTAGGCCTGGATGTAGTTTACAAGTACCGGCTAAGAGTGGGGTCTTCGAGCACTTCCACTGTGATGTCCCGTGGTCAGGGCCAGCCAGGGCAGAAGGAGATGGTGCAGTCCTTCAACCTCATCTTTACATACGGGTAAAATAGGTCCCAGCTGCAGGTGGCTCTCTCTGAGCACATGACTGCACATAGAGGCCTGCCAGAGGTTTCGAAGAGGACATGAAGCTCGTATTAGGTGATGCAGAAGGGAGTCATCCGAAGGCTCATTGTCACCTGGGTCGGATCACACCAAGGGAGACACCACGACTCTCTCACAACACGTGTCCAACTAGAAATGATCGGTGAAGTGAGAAGTTGAGGGAAGTGACTCCCCTCCCTCACCCTTTTCAGCCTCCTTTGTTATGGAGAGCCCTAAAATTTGTGTTTAGATGATTTCAGTTTGCCTACTGTTGTGGCTGGCCGTGGTGTCGTGGAGTCAGTGACCCGATGTGCAAGAGCAGGAAGGCCTGCCCGGCCTGCACCATCCTCCCCTGGTGCCCATGTGTGAGCCTGTTGGTTGCGGCCACTGTGTCAGTCTAACTTGTTGGGAGCTTTTCCCTTTTTAATTGATCCTCTCCTTTACCAAGCATGATACTGTTGTTATGGTATTGCCACATCTTGATAAAGGCTATGGGGCTGTTCCTACAGATTGACTCTCAAATGTTAAAGAATAGCTTCTGGCACAGGTCAAACGAAAACTCATACTTGATATTTGGAATTGTTTTTTGGCAAAGGTTTAGTACTAAAAATTAAACCATCTGAATTCTTTATATCAGGGGTCCTCAAACTTTTTAAACAGTTCACTGTCCTTCAGACGTTGGAGGGCCAGACTATAGTTTAAAAAAACCTGTGAACAAATTCCTATGCACACTGAACAGATCTTATTTTGAAGTAAAAAACAAAACGGGGCAAAAACACCTGGCTGCATGTGGCCGGCGGGCCATGTTTGAGGACCCCCTGCTTTATATCCTACTTATTCACAATCTTGTTTCAATTTGACCTGTAAAATTCTTAGAAAACTGACTTGTGACCTGCATTAGCAGTTTGGGTAACAATTGTAACTCCAAGTCAGTGGCTGGGTAGCCTCCCACTGTGGCTGGTAGTGGCCGAGTGGGAAGGACACCAAGTGGGTCCCAGCTCTTCTGGTGCCACTCTATGTGCAGGGCTCGGCTCACTCTTCACTTGATTACAGGCCGACACGGGAAGTGAAAAGATTCTACTCATCTCCACTGGGGTCACGTTTGTGGACGTGTCTGCACCTGCAGAGGCGGGCTTCCGAGCACGGCCAACCATCAATGCCAGGCTGCCCTTCAACTTCTTCTTCCCATTTGTGTGACGTGCGTCGCTCAACAAGGATGCTGCATGGTGTGGCCGTGAGGACGTTTCCCTGAGTATGGCAGGCACATGGACAGAAGGCCCTTACGGCTGCCCAGCCACTACCGCCCCCTCTACTCTGCGCTCCTGACATTGGGGGTTGGAGGGATTTTAGTCAGCTTGGTTGGAGTGGAGACTGGGGAAGACGCCTGGTCTTGACCATCAGCAGCCTTGTCATTGAAAGTGGACATGGAATAGCCTCGGGGAGGCAGCAAGGAGAGCAGAGCACCAGGTAGCGCAGGGTTCTGGGTGTGTCCTCCCACCACCCAAGTGTGCCTTCTTTTAGCAATATGAGTGGTCTTCTTGCCTTTCTGGGCCCCCTTAATATAACTACCAGAATAGCAGGCTATCATCTAACATGGAACAAGCGGAGCACAAAGCCTCATGGAGGGGGATCTCCCCCACCCCTGTATATCATGGTAATTATACAGCGCAGCAGCCTGGCTCTAATTGCCATGGCTGAGCCTGGCTTGGGATCTCCTGGTGGCGGGTGTGATGTGAAGAGCAGCTCAAGGGGTGGGAGCTGGGAAGAATCGCGGAGGAGGACCCTGCGGGGTGGGGGTGGGGGGGCAGGCTTATTTTGTACATTAATTGTACAGTAATGAGAACCATGTTGTCAGGTGGCGGGAGGAGGCAGGGCCCGCTAGAAGCTGGGGATGCAGCTGTGTGGGGTGAAGGGACTTGGACCCTAGAGCGGCCTCCTGGGGGATGGGGGCCGGGGTAAAGGACGCTGCTCAGAACTGTGTGAAAATAAAAACAGACCTTTCTTTGGTCTTTGAGCATGCTGGTGTGGAAGGTGTTCCTGCTCTAGAAAAGAAGGTTGGATGAGAGATTTCTGATACATGTGAGTAACTGCCCGACACCTTGTTCTCTCCAAGCCAGAGTCAAGTGTTCCCCACAGGAAAATCAGTCCAGGAAACATTTATTGTACAGGAAGGTAGGGGGGCTGGGTGGGAGCACTGGGCTATAGGATAAACTGATTGTATGGTGAGGGTTGGGCCTGTGGGACACTCACTGTAGGCCACACCCAGGACCAAGAAATACAGACTTCACACGGAACCAAAGCTGGCTTAGAAGGGGTCAGAAGCACAGAACCAAACCTCCCCCAACTGACCCGGGAAAGGCTGCCGTCCTTCGGGCCCGGCCCAGCCCAGGCCGGTTCTCTTCGAGGTGGAGTTGGAGAGCGCCTAGTTCACTCACCAAGGAGTCCATGCTGTCTCAACAGCTTGGTAAGCCTCTCGATCTCTTGCTCCTATTGGTACAAAAGCAGACAAACATCGGCGTTCACTCCCTGCTCTGAGCCTCACCAGCACTGACAGTCATTCTCTGAGCACAGGACATAAAATGGGTGAAAGACAGCAGAATCCCATCACCTGAAGGAGAATGTGGCAGCCGGATAGGGGGCAGGGAGCAGCAGTGTCCGTGGTGACCAGGGACACCCAGGGGGCATAGCCAAGAGCAGGGCTGCCCACAGGAGAAGAAGCAGGGCAGGGACGCTGACAAATGGATGGTGTCTCTCAGGGAAGTCCTTTTACCTTCTCAGAGCAGCTGAACTCCAGGTGCTGGATCTTGGCAGCGAGTTGTATATTCATCTGCTTTAACCTTAAGAGCTGCCGCTCTGAACGTGTCTTCACTGAGATAATTATCCCTGAAAACACAATGGCTGGTTTCTACTTGACACTTACTAGAAAAAGCCTTTTTACTGTATCTTTAAGGACATACCTAGACAACAGGCAGATACTATAGAGAGTGGACACAAGTAAAACTCGTAGCCATTAATTACAGGCATTAGAACGATGACTGTCAGATTATTTCTTGAGCTACTCGGCACCCAATTGTGAAATCCTTCTCTTCAGCCCACAGAGGTTGAGACATCCTTAAAAATAGCCTCCGTCAGGGTGTCACGCTCTAGACCAGAAGGCACTGTGGCAGCAGCATCACGGGCAGCAGTGCCCACAGAGGTCATGAGGCCAGGGCTGAAAACAGCTTGTGGTGGGATGAGCATTCCCCGACCCTCAGCCTCCACCGTGGTGGCCAGCATTGGTGTCAGATAGCAACCTACGTCTTGGCTGATAGGCCCTCCTCAGCTTCATTGCTGGCTCCCAGATGCCCACAAAGTATGGGACCGTGCCCTCCAAAGACTCTGCCGGTGGCCTGTCTTTGGACAGTGATGCCATCATCTAAGTGAGGGTGCCCCCGTCTCAACATGCTACCGCACAGGCAATGCCCCTGGGCATGGAGTCAGCACCCCAGATCCCTCTGGTTGGTGGTGTGCACTCAGAGCATCCAGCAGTGTCACACAGACACTGGCCAGCTGCTCTCTGTCGGCTCATGCTTAGACAGGGAGCACACCAAACCTCAGACTGTTGGCTTCATCCCATGGCGTGGGGGCACGGTGAGAGGCATGCGTAGGAGCTGTGGTTACGCAGTCCTTTACAGTCAGTCGTGGTTGATACAGTCACCCGCACATAGTCTTTGTCAAGTTATTTTCTGTCTATTGACATAAACAGCATAAGCCGTGATTCCCCCCATAACCAAAACAAACTTACTGCCCTCAAGTCATAGCGACTCAGCAGAGCCCAGGTGAGTGTCCTTCATGGATTTTATTCTAGAGATTACACCTGAGCTTGCTGGTGATTGACCCTTGAAGCCAGCCAGTACCCAGAGGCAGAGCCAGGGCGGCCCAGGCTCTGTAACTGGAACAGCTAGCTCTTGGATGTGGGCAGAAGAGGCCACCAAGGGGGAGCTCAGTGTTGGAGGACCAGCCTGTCTCCACCTAGGTCACCGTTGCTCACTCATCCTGACAGTGACCTACAGCCCCCAGCCTAGGGGCTCCCAATCCTCGCTGCATGGCCAAGCCACAGCCATGGAATAAGCTCGAGCTTCGTGTAGGCTGGTGCGGCAGAGCTCTAGATAGTGAGCCAGCTGGCCACTCCACAGGAGAAAGACGTGGCCGTCTGTCTCAGAGAGATGACAGCTGGGGGAACCATGTGGAGCGGTCCTGCTCTGTCCGACTTGTTGCTGGTGGGGGGTGGAACACGTCCCAAGGCAGGACAGGTTTTGGAAATGCCAAATGCAAAGCTAGATGCATTCTGGGAAGCAAGCTGGGAGGGGGTGGGTTAGGGACAGCCCACGGCCCATTTCCTGTGTCTTTTAATGATGGGGAGAAGGTGGCCCAAGGGGAAGGCAGGGTCACATGGCAGCCACTCGGGCTCTCGGTCCCACGACCTCATTTTTCTCTGGGATCGGGGGGAGGGGGAGCCCTGTGAGGTGAGCTGGGGAGCAGACAGGCTCACCGTTGATGATGCGGGCCACCCGCCACAGTCGGAGCAGAATCAGCAGGCCCAGAGCCTCAAACTCATGCTCCCGGAAGAGGAGGACGATGTCGAAGACGAAGGAAACCACCACCACGATGGCATCGAGGATCTCAAACTTGTGGTGGAAGAACTCCAGGCGGAAGACGAAGATCTTGAAGAAAATCTCCACCATAAAGAGGGTCAGGATGGCAATGCTCATGAAGTGCAACACCTGCAGGCAGGCAGGTGGGGAAGCCTGGTCAGGACAGGGCAGGGCCGCCCATTCATCCAACAGTCCACTCCCATGGGCCAGGTGCCCAGCCCTGTGGGGGACACGGTTGTAGACGTGATGGACGAAGCCCTGCTCCTCTCTGTGCAGAGCACCCACCCCACGTGTGTTGGGGTTCAGAACATATGGACAGACACCTTGGCCCCACCAATCCCCCTGCTAGGGGTTGACCCGGCAGCTAAACTCTCAGGTGCACAAGACAGGTCAGGTGGTTTGCAGCACCAGCTGTCAGATGAGTAAAACTTTTTGAGCACCAGGGTGGGCTGGCTGCTAAAAGGGGTCCCAGATCTTGGTTTATAAAGTACGCACTAAATTAACTGCTATATGCAGTGCATGGGGATAAAAGTACAAAGATTGGGATATTTCCTTGTGCCAGAAATCAGGGACAGGCTCCCAGATCCTTGCCTGAAGGATGGAGTGGTCAGCTCCTAGGGGCTCGGACTGACTGTGACAAGGACAATGTGGGCATCACAAAGAAGGTCTATGGTGTAGCAACGATGAAACATACAACTTTCCTCTAGTTCCTAAATGCTCCCCCCCCCCCACTATCATGATCCCAATTCTACCTTACAAATCTGGCTAGACCAGAGGATGTACACTGGTACAGTTAGGAACCGGAAACAGGGAATCCAGGACAGATGATCACGTCAGGACCAGTGGTGAGAGTGGTGATACCGGGAGGGTGGAAGGAAGGTGGGGTAGAAAGGGGGAATTGATTATAACCTCCACTATGGGGGACGGACAGCAGAAAAGTAGGTGAAGGGTGATGTCGGACAGTGTAAGACGTGACAAAATATAAATTATCAAGGATTCATGAGGGAAGGGGGAAATGAACTGATACCAAGGGCTTAAGTGGGGAGCAAATGTTTTGAGAATGATGAGGGCAACGAATGTACAAATGTGCTTGACACAATTGATGTATGTATGGATTGTAATAAAAGTTGTATGAGCCCCTGATAAAATTTAAAAAAAAAAGGCCTATGATTGACAGAATGCTTGTGTCCCCGATGGGACACGCACATGCTCACAGCTAGAGAAAACGGGAGGCTCTTGCTTCAGAGACAGAAGGCGAGGGAAGACAAGATGAGAAGATGACCCCTTTTATCCAGGACCCAGTAAGGGTCTCAAGTCGGCTCACCACCACTGGGCTGACCACTGCCCACAGCACCGGGAAAGACACTTGGATGGTGGGGCAGCACAGCATTTCCTGCCGTAACTAGGGGACCCAGCTTGGTGTCACTGGCCCTGGGCTGCCTCATGATACAACAGGAAGGACACCCCAGGGGCGTTCTCTGCCATTGATGGGGTATGCACGACACAGCCCACCCTCCTTGGTTCAGGTGCTGTGATGCTTCTGTTGGAGTTTCAATCTGGAAAAGCATCCGCCACTCGAAGGGAGGGTACACTGGCTGGTATGGGGTGGCAGTGGTGCATGCACGCCTGCCCCACTCTGCCTAGGGTGTGGGCAAGCGAAGCCAGCAGTGGCTGACACGACACGCTACCTTGATGGCATAGTTATTCTTGTCAGGCTGGATGATATTCAGGTCCAGGATCAGTTCGGCGAGCACCAGGAGGGCATCCAGAATGACCAGGCAAATGATGACCACCTGCAACGGGGATGTTTGGGACAGACTGTGAGACATACCGGGGATCCTGCTGTCAGCTGTCAGCATGGCCTGGACACACTGGATTCAGACTAGCCCAGCTGCCTCTCCCCCACAGCTGCCCCCTCCTCCCTGCTGCCTTCTAGTGGACTCTGCCTTCCCTGCCCGCAGTCTCTCCTAGTTCCCCTGTAACCCACTCACTGTTCCTAAGCATCTCCAAAACCCCACTGCTAAGTCCTAGATGCCAATAAGTGTTAAACGTGTCCTCTTTGCCGGGAGAACAGATGATCATGAAACGATTCCAGGCACCCCTAACTTCAGTGATCTGAGCCCTAGAAGGGACTGCCTGCTTTGGGCAGTGAGTGATGATGATTCCCCACTGTATGGATAGAACAGCTCCTGCCCACGAGCTGGAACACCCACTCTGCAACATGCATGTGACCACCCGGAAGCCAGAACTCTGGGTTTCCTGAAGAATTGAAAAGAACTGCTATGTGGCCCCCCCACCACAGGGCCTCACCCCGTGTGCCTGTGTGCCTGGTACCGTACTGGCGGAGGGGGCCGGAGGGTGCTAAGTGGAGTGCGAGTGTTTTGAGGGCAGTGCAGGGAGGGTGATGGAGGTGGGCATGTGTTGGGGTGAGGGAACTCGAGGCGACCACGGAGAGGTGGTCACAGCAAGGGAAAGGGCAGCCGTGGAAGGAACCCCGAAGAACCCTAACACTCTTTCCCCACGAACATTCCAGACCATCGCTTCCTCCAGGAGCTTGCTTTTGCTTTGTACACCCTCAGGTTGAGAGTTTGACCTCTGACAATGAATCTGCTACTCTCTGGGTAACTTCTGCAGGCCCAGCGTTCAGATGACAAAGCTCAGGCCTGTGCCAGAATGGAGTACTGACCCTTTTGACCGCTTCAACCTTTAGCTCCAGGAATTGACGTCATGAAAGTACTTGATGGCATGGTTTACAGGGACTTGCTCTGCACGCAGCTTTCCCAGACACCCGTTGAAGGCTCTGGTGTTTGTTTACCCATCTTGTGCTGCATTACAGCCGAGAGCTCCTACTGTTAATACTGTGAACACGCAGCATCGAGATAATAAGAGGCAGGCCCAAGGTCATCAAACTCCATCCTCTTGTCAGCTAAGCCCAGGGCCAGCTGTGCCTTTCCGAAAACAGCCACATTCAGAAGAGCCAAATGGTGGCAGTGACCCAAATGTCCATCCACAGATGATGAATCAACACACTGTGGTCCGTCCCTAAGCAGCCAGGAAGAGGGATGAAGTTCTGGCACCAGGAACGCCACGGCTGGGCTGAACCCTGAAAGCATCACACCGAGTGAGCGCGTCTGCTGGAGGCGGCTCGATATTGTATGTCCCCACTTCGATGAAATCTCTAGGAATATCAGGGGCGAGGAAAACCATTTGGGCTTGTGGGTGGTGCTGGGTGCACGCATGGTGAATGTGGTCAGTCGCACTGAGATGGTCACGTGAAGATTGTTAAAATGGAAAAATGTTTGGTTTCTGTCACCTTATCTGATAAATATTTTGCCACCAGGATTTTTTTCTTTTAAAGGAAGGCTGCTCTCATTTTTCGGGGCCACCGTCCGCTGTCATAATTCTACCCTCTGTTGTTCCCCTCGGTGTGTCATCCCTGTGCAACAAGTGGCAGCGCTCTGCCATCTGCCAAGAGACTTTGGTCTCGTGACACCATCCCAACAGGTGGGATGCTGGCAGAAAGAACCTCCTGCTTTGCTGGTTCTGCCTAGGGAACATCACAACCCTTGAACTCCTCTCTCTCCCACCTTGCTTCCTGTTTCTGCTCAGAGCCTGTTTCCACATGCACCTTGTTTGGCCACCTGTCCCTCGGGCAAGTGACCGGACCTGCTGTGACCACGCTGGCCCAGCTCTCCCTCTGCTGCTAGTCTTTCCCACCTGTCTCCTCAGCCTGGGTAGCTCCTCTCCCCACACTGAGCACACTTGTGCTCAGCCCTCAGATGCCAGCTAAAATGCCGCCTCCTCTGAGACCCACCCTGCCACCTTAGTCCTGTGTCAAGTCTCCTCTGTCCCAGCATCTCCCGAGCCCTCGTGGAATGCTTCAGCTGCATCTGCAAGGAGAGTTGAGTGAGGTGTCCTCTCGCTCTGGGCCACAGGAGTCATTCAGGTCAGGGACTGTCCTTGCCTGGCTTGTGGCTGTACCTCACCCAGCACAGAAACCAAGGTAAGCCAAGCTCACCAACATGGGGTTCTTCCCACTCAGAGTGACCCTACAGGGCAGAGTAGGGCTGCCCCTTTTGGTTTCTGAGACTAAATCGTTATGGGTGCAGATAGCCTTATCTGTCACCTCGGGATGACTGGTGGATTTGAACTGCCGACCTTGAGGTTAGCAGGTCAAAGTGTAGCCCACAATGTCAGCAGTGCACCTTACTCCAGCACAAAGAAGGTGTATGATAAGCAGTTGACAAATGAATAAGCATCTCGACTTATGTGATGGTAGCCTACTCCTCTCAGTAGGAGGGTCTCTGGGAGTCCCAGCTCAGGGTGTCAGCCTCCAGCAAGCAGGCTGGGAGATGTCCGCCCCCACCCCCACCCTGGGGGCGGTCCAGGGCTCCCTCTTGCAGCTGGGAGGAAGCTGGCTCCTTCCTTCTGCTCCTGAAATTGAGGGTTTGGGATTTCAATCCCAACAACTTAATACCACGTTTCGTTTCCTGTCACAGCCACAGAGGGAGCGGGCTGGTGCTCGGGGAGCGTGGCGGCCGTTGACTGGTTTCCGTGCTTCCAGCCACACAAGAGGGAGAAAAAGATGAAATTCATCTTCTCTCCTGTTTCGCCCTGAACAAAGCCGGTGACATGAGAGGCAAGAGCTGGGCCTCTGTTTCCAGAAGGGCTGTCCACAGTGGCACCGGGAGGAGATGGTGGACTCCGGCTTAGGACGAGGTAGACAAGAGTGGAGCAAAACGGCTCTGTCCCTGAACTGGACTGATGGGAGCTTCCCACTTCCCCAAGGTGACTGGCTCACCTGCATTCTCCAGGGACCTGAAACATGCTTCCAGCCCCCGGGCCTCAGCGCCTAGGGCTGGGGGCACAGGGAGGCTCCGGATGGGCCAGTCTAGAAGTGCAGGGCCCTTTGCTACTCCCAAGAGAGGGTGCGCCTCGTCTCTCATGGTACCCCTTGAGGCTAACAGTGGGGCACAGGCAGGTAGACATTGCTTGCATCACTTTACAAATGAAGGGTTGGACCCCGTTGGCCTTGGTCAGCTCGGAATGGGGCCTTCAGTGTTGGCTTGGGCGAATGAGTGTTTTGTTCCCATTGCCAGTGTTTAGTTTGTCATTGTGCTATTGCGGTAAAACGCGTGTATCGCAGGCCTGTCTGGATAGGACAGGCTGGATGAACAATCTGGAGGAGAAAACAACGGGACTGACAGTTCC